ACTATGTTGTACAGGTTGGCCCTGAACTCATGGACTCAAATGATTCTCCTACTCAGCCTTCTGAGTAGCTGAGACTACAGACATGTACCACTGCATGTTATTAGTTATTAACTAATAACTACTTTGAGTTGAGTATTTACTATGTGCCAAATATTTTACTAAATGTTTTACATGTATTAAATCAATTACTCTGAACTCATTATTTAAATATTTGCAAAATGCCTGGCACAGAGTAAGGTACACAGTAGGCATTCAGTAAATGAAAGTTGGTGCCATCATAATATTTCAGAGATATAGGGAGAGGCCTCTTGCTCCTCTTGCTCCCTTCCTTTCCAATTAATGCCTAAACTGTGAAATGTGGCCCTAAACATAATAGTCTCTGGAAAAAAGGAAACATAGGTATTGAAATTAATCCTAACGTGTAAATAAGTGATAATAGAACCTGAACTGAGATTGTTTTTTTGTTTGTTTGATTGTTTGTGTTGTTTGGTACCTGGGATTTAACCCAGGGGCACTCAACCACTGAGCCATATCCCAGCCTTTTAATTTTTATTTTGAGACAGGGTCTTACTAGATTGCTTATAGTCCTGCTAAGTTGCTGAGGTTTCGAATCTGTTGTCCTCCTGCCTCAGCCTCAAGCTGAGGATTACCACTCAAGCCACTGGGATTACAGGTAGGTGCCACTGCGCACAGCCAAGATTGGGTTTTTTTTTACTTTCAAATTTTGACATCACTTTATTTATTTATTTTTATTTGTTCTAATTAGATATATATGACAGTAGAATGAATTTTGACATATTGTATACAAATGGAGCACAACTTCTCATTCCTCTGATTGTACATGGTGCAGACAGTCACTCCAGTGGTGTAATCATACACGTATATAGAGTGATAATATCTGTTTCATTCTACTGTCCTTCCCATCCCCACAGCCACACCCATCCCCTCACTCCCCTCTACACAAACCAAAGTGTCTTCATTCTTCCCTACACCCCTACCTCACCATGGATCAGCATCCACTTATCAGAGCAA